CATGATGATGGTGATGGTCGTTGTGACGGTGGTGATTGTGGTGATGATGGCATTGATGGTGATGACGGCGACGAAGTAGATGATGACGATGATGATCATGATGATGATGACGACGATGGTGATCTTCAAAACAATACTGAGCAACAGTACGTGCAACAAGGATAGAGCACTGCAAGTCCAACTGCAACCACGACGAAACAACAAACGGTACAGTAGAATGATCACGACCATGACAAACAAAAAAAGCGGTACTGAGCAACTGCGACATCACGTTTTCGCACAAGGTTAGACACTTTAGACATCTTTGGACGCTTTTTGGATGCGTAGCGGTAGGCCGCGACATGCAACCGGTCTCGCACATCGAATCGGCAACGTCTCAGACGCGATCGATTGCTACATGTCGCGGGTTTGCTATGTGGATAAATCTGGCGCCGAGTCTCGGCCGCTGATTTATGATAGTTTATGTGTTGGAAAGCTGAACTGCTGGAGGTTGGAGAAGTTGCACTTTTTTGAGCAGTACAGTGTTTTGTGAGGTTTAAGCCGCGAAACACTGCCATGCTCAAGTTTCGCAAGTTTTGAGGTTGGGAAAATTGATTCTCTTTGGCAGCTGCAAGCTGAAAACACTGTAGATACCAGTGTAATATGTGTCGATTCTTTTTGCCTACTGTTTATGCGCATCAAAACACAATGCTGAAATTAAATGCAAGCTCTAGTTTCGTCGCTCTGTTTCTAGTCGTTTCATGTGCTCTTGCTACTGCTACTGACTACTGCTTACTACTACTTAAACTACTTACTATTACTTACTAGCTCCCTCCTTCCTTCCATTCGCGGCGAACGTCCGGTGTTCACCTAGAGAGTCGGCCAGCTCGGCCGCGAAGCAGCGATGTCTGACATCCCAATACAATGAAAATTTCAATCTGCCAGCACCGATCCCTGGATCCAAGTGTGCTGACCGACCCGAGTCGCAACTCAGCGGTCTCACGACGAAGCAAAATTATCTGTTGGCAGACGATATCATTAACAGCTGCACAATGCCGTCGAAGAGTCAAGAAGGACTCTACGCAGGAGTTGAAGCATGACAGACTGCCACATTGTTGGCAGACATCCCCACTCCACAGGGGGCGGGGGAGGGGACAAGGCCAAACAAGAAGACCACCCATATGACAGGCAAGCGCTGTGTATACCCTGAAACGGGGGTGGGTGGGTGAGTGGAGGGGGGGCAGCCGCCAAGCATCATATAAACATACATACATACATACATACATACATACATATATACATATATATATATATACATATGTACATATATACACACATATACATATATGCATATACACATGCGTACATATACAATGTATACATTATGTACATTATATACGTTATATATATTATACAAGTTATATACATTATATATGTTATACACATTTTACACATTATACACATTATATACATTATATACATTATCTACATTATCTACAATGTATACATTATATACATTATACACATTATAGTTATTGTATACATTGTATACACATGCATTACATACACTGTATACATTATGCACATTATACGCAAATACATATATCTATATATATATATATATAATATACACGTACATACATACATACATACATACATACATACATACATACACACACAGATAGATACATACGTAGATACATATATACATATATACATATGTACATATATACATATATACATATATGCGCGCATTTACACGTACCGAACCCTTTGGCAAGAAGCCGGCCTTTCTCTCGTGATCGCCACCTTTGGATAGGCAGGCGCAGGAATAAAGAGGCCCTTCAACGGTTGCTCGCTTGCATCGGACTCGACGATGGTGTCAACGGCGCGTTGCAAGACCTGGCAAAAGTCGCCGAAGGAAACAACAACAAAAACGACAAGCAGCGACTGTTGTCCCTTCAAAGTTGGATGAAACGAAAGACTAACCCCGCCAGGCCTCTTCGCCGTGCTTCTCGATCTCCTCCCTCCCTTTTTGAATCGCCTCCCGCACGACTTCCCCGTGCTTCTCGATCTCTTCCCTGCCTTTTTGAATCGCGTCCCGCATGAGGTCTGTCGGGGACACGGACGAATCTCCATCCTTTTCCTTGGCAGAATCCTTTTCTTCGGCAGACATGGCCTCAAGCTGTGGCCGCCTGAGGTGAGCACAGATTCCTGTAGCTTATGTTCGGTTGGGATTTGCCGTCGGGTGGCACAGTGTCTGGGGCGGACTGCGGGGGCCTAAGTTGGCTAGCATATTGTGGCATTGAGCCATTGAAGCCCGACAAGCTAGAAACTTAGTCCTCATGTCGGACCCTAGGTGATAGTAAGAGTCATGTTGGGTCTGAGTCGAGCCAATAATTACCTGCAGAAGCACAAACTGGATTTGGGAAGTTCGTGGAGTTCCTTCCACGCGCACCGATACAACCACGAGGCTGTGGAAGCACTGAGCAAGTCGCGCATTCAAGAGTTTGCCGATGGGACTTGGGAAGAGGTCGAACTGGTTGGACAGAAACGCTTCCGTTGCAGGAGCTCGTACTGTGAACCTGCCACGTGGCATCGTGATTTCTGATAGATAGCTCGTCACAAAAAGGGGACGATAGCTCAAGAATGAGGCCAGCCCCACTCCCAGCGTGCAAGATGAAGATCCGGCGAGTCGATGATCTTCGGCAGCCTCAGAAAGCTTGTGAGCATACACATCCGTAAAAGCACACCTCGCACGAGATACTTCGCTGGGTGAGTCCACAGGAAAGCACAGGCCACTACACTGTGGTTCTCAGGCTGCAGGAGTAAAGCGAAGTCGTACTGAAACCAAAGACACTGACACGTTGGAAAGCGCGAAGCCGGTCCCTGATATTCAATGATGATGATGATGATGTCGATGATGATGATGATGATATGGTGGTGATGATGATGATGATGATGATGCAATGGTGCAGCGATGCAATGATGGCGTGAAAATGATGAAATTCACGATGCTGATGGTGATGATGCTACTATACTACCAAGGCTACCACCACCAGTAGTATTTAGTACTCGACTGATAGCACTACTCGGACGACATCACTAGTATTCACACTCGTACTAGTACAGGTGCAAACGCGCTCGTGTACTACGACTGGCAATAGAAGCATTACGGCTCGCAATCGTACTCGCACCACTACGTTTACCAGACGGGGGCAGTACTAGCAGCAGTAGAAACGATAGTGGGTCTTCGCCGTCGTTGTTGTCGTTCACTAGCAGGCTAGTAGTGGCTCAGCATGAGCAGCCGGCACGCAGTAGTAGAAGTTGGCTGTTGCCGCAGCAATTGTAACCGTACCTTCCGCTCTCGTCGTAGACAGAGCGGGAGGGGTAGTCCCGCTTGTGCTGGGATGCCGGCGGCCTCAAGTGCAATACCTCCTCAAAGTGGTCCGACACAGCGTAAACCGCCTGAAAACGAGTGATCAGAAGAAGCATCAGCATTGCCGGTCATGGAAATGTCAAGGGCGACGACACCCAAACCACGGCTCCGACCTGGAAACCGAAAAGCCCCGGCAAGTTCACCAGACCCCCCGAGCCTGCAAAAGACTGCATACTGCCAGGGCCTGGCTGCAACGAAGTTCGCACTATATCGGTGTACATATGTTTTGTTAAAGACATGCTCAATTTCTCAACCCCATTATAGATGCACTGAGAGTCTTTTGTTGATCGATCTACGCTTCGCTTGTTTGTAATGTGCATCTCTTTGTTGTGTTCCTTCTTGTCTGTGCACATGTACCGTACATATGTGAAGACGCACCACATGTAGTCGCAGAAGGGAAGGCAAGCACAGATGCATACATGCATACGTACATACATACTCACGTACATACATACATGCACGCTCACATTCACATGTGCATGCACAGATGCATGCACATGCACTTAGAAACACACATACACGTACACGTGCAAATTATACATGCGAACATACGAGTACGTGCTTACAGACGCATGCTCACAGTGTAAGTTTTGGAGACAGGCACACTAGCACGTAGAAACAAGTTCACTGCCCTGTGCCATACATATGTGTACGGTGTCTGAGACAAGAATACACGAGAACGTGATACGGAACAGGTCCGACAAAATAAGAAGTAGCGACATTCATGGAAACAACAAACATACAAAAAAAAATACATACACATATATATGTAAACATATCTATATATGTATATATGCGTGCTCTTCATGCGTGTATATGTATAGAGAGAGAGAGAGAGAGAGACAGACAAAGAGAGTGCAATTCAGTAATTACATACATATCCACATACATTTCTATGCTAGCCGCTGCTAGCCCACCTCCAAGGGCTTCCGTTCTCTACTCTCGCAAAGAGTCAATATCCAAATCAACCTTTGAAGTCGGGTGCAGAACCAGGACGAGATAAGAAAGGGCACTGGTGCTGTGCTGAAGCATGCTTTGTGAAAACCTGACTTGCTGCACTCTCGATTATGCCGGGCTAAGGTGTGCTTTCGTTGCCTTTATCAATTTCCGATACCTGCAACATGCATACAACACCTTATGGCACCATAACAAGCCATGCTAAACTATGTTCCGTGATATTTTTATGCTTGAATATCGCACACTAGCCAGGTTCCCGGCTGGAAACCATCTGGTCACTGCGCACGGCGGCATGTCGGAGAGATCTGATTTGTAGAACTACTTGAAGGTCGTGCTTGCATAGGTTGGAAAGAAATATGGAGAGATGCAATGGTGACTTTTCCGAAAGCTGCGCTGAGCCACTCGAGTTCGCCCTGTCACGGGACAACTTCGCTACAGCTTGTGTTGGCCTTGCTTTGAGACTCTGGCATCTGCTGTGCCAACAGGTGATGAAGCCCGGAGAAACATGCGGGGACGTCTTGGGCGTGGAGTCAAGAAACCTCTCAAGACCCAGAGCAGTTGGCCTTCTTCTTTCTTGACTTTTTTGAGCTGCGCGAAAACTGTTCAACGAGCACCAAGGCCATGTTCAGACCTTGTTCAATATTCGGCCGAGTCCACCCCTCAGGGCAGTCAGTGTTCCGGGTGGCCCGGAAGGCAACGCTTTGCCTGTCTCCGGCGGCCGCTCGTACTGGTGGATCCCACCACGCTCTAAGTCCCGAATTCTGGAACTGAGATCCTCTCTCTCCTTGTCCTGCTCCAGAAGCCTCTTTTGAAGTTTCTGCTGGAGCTGCACAGCACGAAAGACGGCCTCGGCCACAGGCTCCATGTTGCCTGCATCGAGGCCGCCCTTGTCGGCTAAGAGCTGTACTCCTAACGCAGCATTCATGTCCCGGAGCCGCTCACTCTGCTGGCTCAGCACCTTTTGTGCCGCCTGCCACACCGAGAAATGATGCGAGCTTCGATGCTCCGATCCAGCATGTGCCTGAAGCCCAGCGTGCCGCCCCTCTACGTCATCGAGGCCCTCGAGCTCCGGCGCCAGAGCATCCAAGCGAGCCTTGCTAACGCGAATCTCCCAACAATAAAACTAACCCTGCAATCACCACCTGCCTGCATGTCGGCACACTCCTGGATCAGCTTTACCCGGTCCTGGTCTGCCGTTCGCCGTGCATTTTCCTGTGCTCAGGCTTACGTACCGATGCAGCTTGCAGATTGCTCTGCCTCGACAGGAACCCAAGGCCGCGGCGAGGCCCCCAACGCGTCGTATGAAGCCCTCGGACTGCGATGCGATAGCTTCACGCAGCGCGCTGCCTGGCAGGTGCACGGTATTGCACGGTAGGCCCCGTCCATGCGACAACCACGGAATCTGCGCCGCCTGCATCCTCAAAATCCACACGCGCGGACTGGAGCTCGGCTTTCTCCTGGCTCCGGTCGTTGTGCTGGGGCTAACTCTCAAGAATCGTCCATCTCCTCGGAAACTTGCTTCAGGCGAGCACTCAGAGAGGCCTCAAAACAACATTGCAGAATGCGATGGCACAGAAACGCCTCTGTCAGATCCAGGCCTCCGTTTTCTCCAGCTGTTGCAGACGGAGAAACTGGGCAGTTTGGGACTGTCTGAGATTGGAGTGGTGGAAACGCTCAGGGCTCGGAATCTTTTCAAGGTACAAGGACGCTGAAGGGGGCGATGCCTCAGAGTTGGCCTCTTTCTGGACTTCTGCCAGCCAGTCGAGCTCCTCCTTTCGGGACTCGTCCTTTTCGAGGTTTTCTGCTTCCTTCGCCTCCGGACCTCTGAGGTGCGATGCCACGGCGCGATAGACGTCTCTTCGCGTGGTGCATGGCGCGTCGCCCGTCCTGCCTTCGTCCAGGCCTTCGATGGGCTCGAGGACCCGTGCGGCCCAGGAGTCGGCCAGGGCCTGCCGAAGCCGCGCGGCCTCGGCCTGACGGGGCAAAGCCATGAAAGCGTCGCAGCTGCCAACAAAAAAAATAACTCTCTCTTCACTTCATCTCTCTCTCTCTCTCTCTCTCTCTCTCTCTCTCTCTCTGTGGCATGGCTCTGACTCTCCGGCTGGGCTCCTCTTGAGTCAGCAGCTGCTCCTGGAGCCGCTCCGCCTCCTCCACCGCGCTGGTGAGGACCTCGGCAGAAAATTTAGAAGACCAGAAGCCGAAAGAAACCCCATTCCAAAACGGTAGAGCACCGAGAACTGCCTCATGTCCAAGGCAGCTACGTCGCGGCTGACCATTGAGCGGGTTTGTTTCTCCCTCAGCACATGCAGCACACGCAAAAAAACGCACGTATAGCCCAAGAGAAGCAGGTACTCGTGGCCTGTAGCAGTGTAACCATGCATCCCTCGACTGGGGAGATGGAACAGGATCGTTCAAGCCCAGTCGGACACCGTCTCTCCATGGTCAGCATGTCAAGAGGCTCAAGGCCCACAAGCCAATGGCAACAACGAAACTGCTTCCGTATGGCGGCTGAAGTCCCAAGGGCAGCGCAACGCAGCTTGTCTTTCCTCCGCACCTCAACTTGATCACATTGTCACATATTGTCCAAGAAACCGACTAGCTGCACAGAACGACCACACACTGGGCCTCATGCATTCCGGATTTGCAGTTTGCATCTTTTGTGAGTTTGATACATTAGCTGTCCGGCAAGGCACCACTTAGTGCCAATGCCAAATCTTGCCGCGCCTGACAGCTTCGGGCTGGCTCAAGTTCACTGGCATGATGGCTGTCGTCGTGTCCACCGTCGGAGTGAAGGCTTTCCAAGACATGCGCCCGACCGAGCCTTCATGGCCTGGGACAATTCTCCGCAGCTCGCAGCCTGGACAAACACAGCTGGGATCCGCCATCAAGCGGAGCTCGCGCATGGATTGCTGGCCACCAGTCGTGCTATTCCGACTTGGCCTGCCAAGCTCGTGAGCGGCACGATCATGGACCTAGCCCTCTCATGGCTTATAGCCATGAGACAGGAACAACAAACAAACTATGCCCACAGCCCTGTCCAACCCGATCAAGGCCTCCCGCGACTTGCTGGCATCCTGCTCCAAAGGTCAGTAAAAAGCTTTCCACTTCATGACTTAGCTTGAGATTCAGCCTCTTTGTGCTATAGGTGCATAGACAAGGAGCATTAGCTTGTGGGCATCGTTCAAAACCAAGAGCTGCTTGCCTCTGCTCGTCGCTGCTCCTCAATGTCAGCAGCCTCGGCAAGCTTCAACTTGATCTCTTGATAAATTCAGCCAAAAAGCTTCGATCCCGGGGGGGCAGTCCGTCAGGAGCAAATGACGCATGTACTGAGGCATAGCCTTCGCCAACCATACGATTCACTTCCGACGACCTTTCGGTCGAACGTATCCGGTAGTCGAGGTGTTGCTCCATTCGCTCTTAGATATGGCAAATCTGTAGCAACCTTTCAGTCAGCCATTACAAAGACTGATGTGATCCCGGCCGAACAGAAAGGGTTTTGATGCAGGTCCATTTCACACAAGGATGACAGCCGATGATCGCGGGCTCTTCGTCTGCAGGTGTCCGTGAACGGTCAACTGAAACTTGATGTGAGTTTACAGTTTGCTCGCTCTGGCCTTTTGACAGGATTGGCGCGCACGCATGCATACGAGTCCTCTCTCAACAGCTTTTTGCTGACGAATGTTGCACAGCTTGTCGTTTTGCAGCCTTTTTGAAACCGTGCTCCTCGGTCGTCACAGTGCAGCCAAGGGCGCACCAGAAAACGACAGACCGGCGGAGGATGCAAAACAAATGCAAGAGTGAAAACATGCATCAATACACTCTGGGGAGGTCAACTTGACCCCACTGTTGCACGTGATCTGTGGCAAACATCAAACATCCAGTATGCGAGGAATCTAATAATAAACCTGTCTAAGATGTTTCCGGTCAGTTGCAGCTTTCTCATGTTTGCTTCCTCCGTCGCAAGACAATCGTTCTCGTCGCATCCTACTGAAAGTGTCGTCCAGCTGCTGGGCTACGCACAGTGGCGCTCTTCTTTGCAGAGAGCTTCTCGATGCTTTGCTGCACTGCCTGTGAGAATGCGCTCTTCGAAGGTGTGTTCACAAGCGCGCTCGATGACCCGTCGCGGCCCGGAGCCTCCATCTCCCTTTCGGTAGCATCACGTCGGCTGCGCAATGGACTTGAGGCTTCGGCCTGGAGCTTGGCTTCAAGCTCGAGCGAACATAAGGACTTCAGAGAACTTCGCACCTCGGCGACCCGGCGCTTGTTTTCCGCCAGGAGCTCCTCGCACCTCGCGTACCGGGGCCAAGGGGGGACCTTGGTCGGATGCCGAAACCCGGCGAAGAATCTTCGCATTTTCCAACCGCCAATCGCGGTCGGCACGTGCCCAGGTCTAGACAGCTTTGGCCACATCTGGCGGCGATGCTCTGACCACAGGACGCATCGCAACTCACCTCTGCGAGGGTTGCCGCATGAAGACCTCCGGGCTCCGCTGGCACAGCCAACACCCTGGGCTTGGGGCCTTGCAATTCAAAAGTGTGCCGTGAAACGCACCGCACAGCTCTACAAGGCCATTTTAAAACTTAACGCCTGGCCGCACTGTTGGCATTGCCAAACTGGCTGTGCCAGGGCCTTAAACATTAGCACATAGAAATACATACACGGCATACGCGGCTTGTTCACGATCGCATCACTCGAGGGAACCAAGTGAAGGCGCTGTCTTCAGCCGCTTGAGCTGCGAGAAGCGCTGTTTCTTGGCAAGCATAACCTGCAGCGTTCTATCGTGTGTCTTCTACTATCAGTGAGCAAGATTTGAAAACATGTTGGTTGCAATCTTACAAAGGCAGGTACTTCGAAAAGCATGTACTTCCGTGAAACGAGGCGAGCACCTCTTGGTCCTCCACGAGGCCACCCATGTCCAGAAAGTAGTCTGAGCGTGACGGCGCTGCGGTGGAACCCCTCACTGTATGTTCCAGGCAGCTCGAGCCATGTCGTAGGTCGTCGGCTTTTCATCTTGTTCATCATGATCACGTCCGGAGTGTAGCTCGAACAGTCCTGCAGCTTCACAGTTCTACCTCGAAAGCTTTACCAGGTACCATCCATTTCCCGAGCAATCTCCTCGATGGGCCGGTAGAAAGACCTTCCAAGCACCAAAATTTCAGCACAGCAGCAGCCGGTCGCGAAAAACGAAGTCCTCTTGGCACTGGGGATTCGGCTCCCACTGCCGTGAGCCCGGAATATCTGGGCCGCAAGAAAGAAGTGATAGTGATAGGGCTTTCAGGAGTACAGGAGTACGGCATCCCCATAGTCCTTCTTGCTCAAGCCTGTCGACGACACCAACTTTAGGTGACGATATACAACATACAGCGGATGGAAGCTGTAGAAGTGATTCCCCACATCTGACACGAGAACGGATTGCCGCAGGGCCGGAGGTACTAAGCCGCATGCATGCTGACTCCCTATGGCCCGCACGATGCACCACAGCTGCTCTACTGTCCTGCTGGAGGAATCGACGTTCCACCTCCTTCCAGAGGGCTTAGGATCACTCGTGGACAGTGGGGCATGGGGACCGGACGGCTCTCGCGAAAGGCTGTTCTTGCTAGGAGCTTTCAATATCTTGATCTGCCATCAAACATAAGCCGAGTCATGTTTTGCCTACAATTTCAAGACTTACAGCGCAGTCTGCTTTCACTACTGGCGGAAATGACCACACATGGAATGCAACTGACCCGAGCTCCTCAGCACAGACTTCGGCAGAGAGAGACTCCCGCAGGTTGTCATCCTTGAGGGGCGGAATTGGAGCTTGAACACCACACCCTGATATAGGGGCCTTAATAATAAGAATAGGGTTTCGGGGTATATTATACTATAAATATGAGAAGGAACCCTTAAAATGGTATTGGCCACTACTTAGGCCCCTATGTTACGCAAAGGTGCAGCTCCCAGCAAGACCTCGCGCAGACACGAAGGGCTGTGAACCGGTCTCGCCTTGACCAGCTTCAAAGTCTCAAGCTTTTCACTGATTACCTGCATGACACATCCAGAGGGGATGGGCCAGGGCCAGGGCAAGTTACTTGTACGGTTACTTTTATGCAGCTTTCCGCCTCAGCCAGACGGGAGCCCTCCGTCTCGATTGGCTCCTCTGTCAAGTTGGCCTCCGGGCTATGTCATGTGCTCGCACGGCCTTCGGTGAGGCTGAGGCAGCGCGGAGCCTTCGGGTCCAACTCCCTGCTAGCATTCACGTAGCTCTGTGGCCTCATTGGAGCGGGGCCGGACAAAGAGACGAAGACCAGCATGGTCCCAAGGCGAGTGCAAGGCGAAGGCTAAGCGATGCTAAGCGCCGAGCTCCTCTAGACTTCCCATGGGCAAAGGCCTTGGCAAGCCGGCGACGCGAATTCGCTGACGGACCTCCCAGGTGCCAAGAGCTTACGACGGAAGAACCCGCAATGCGGGCCCCTTGAACACCGGCCTCCTCCCGGAGGTCCACTGCAAAGTCCGTGAAAGGCGCGAAACTCAGCGAAATGGTTCAGCACTGGGATGGCAAGACAGAGAAGAATGCAAAGTCGAAGGGCGCGGCTATCAAATCTACTTCAAATCTATTCAAGGAGGAACGAAGTAGCTACAGATCAGACCAACAAGTAAATCCATCAACAGCTGGTATGCAGCTCGATTCACACCGAAAGTGTCGTCATCACATAAAGCTGCCAGTGCTGCCAGACCGACGTTGCTGCAACGCCGGGTTACTTTTCGACATCAGTAGCGAAGAATGGCAAGCCCATATCAGGCTGAAGCCGGAAATCATCGATCACATCGAGAATCGACGTACTGAACCACACATTGTAATCACCGAAATCCCCAATTCTCAACCACAAAGCCTTGATTGCCCTAAACCCAATCCAAGAGCCTGACTGCGCGCGGGCTTCCAGTTGTGCCCGAGCTTCCCGGCCCTCGGACCTGGCGCACAGGAAGTGACACCCTCCTGTTTCCTGCACACCTCAGTTCTTGAAGCTTACTCCCCCGCCACCCACTACGTCTTAACCGTCGTGGGACTGCTACTACTGCTGCTGCTGCTGCTGCTGCTGCTGCTGCTCCTCCTCCTCCTCCTCCTCCTCCTCCTCCTCCTCCTGCTCCTCCTCCTCCTCCTGCTGCTGCCTCCTCCTCCTCCTCCTCCTCCTCCTCCTCCTCCTCCTGCTCCTGCTGCTGCTGCTGCTGCTGCTGCTGCTGCTAACCTCATGTCAGATCCTGTTCCAAACCGAACGAAACCTTCGACAAAACTTCGAGTTGTTTGCTGCGATCAGGCCCGCAGAAACGGAGAACATTGCGTGACACGCTGTTCTCACAAGCAACCCGCCGCTGGAACTGCGGATCGATCACGTGCACGGAGAGGACGTCAGGTGCCCCCACACGAATACGTATACTCTTGCAAGGTTCGCAGCAATACGCCAAGCAAACAAACGTCGTCCAAGAGTTTGGTGCGATTTTGCGCACGGACGGCAAACGGCACGCAAAGCCACTGCAACATGACCCGAGACAAAGTGCTGCCGGTCCTGTCCAAACCCGAAAGCTCCACACCAAAATCCCCAGAATTCCCGAAGCCAACATCAAAAGGATCGGCAGGCAATTAAGGAAAAAGGGCTACAACGGCAGTCCTGCTGAGTACGCAGAGAAAGCTGCCGTAGAGTGAAAAGCATATGCACGAAGTCCGCGCTGCAGGCGACTTCGTAAAGCTACACACCAGGTTCGGTGCCTAAGGAGACAAAAAGACACGCTGTGGTCCTGCTTAGACTTCGTCAATGAATTTGAGGCTTGAGTCAAGCCTTGGACTTTCCCTCGCAGCGCTCAGGGCTTTAGGGTTGCAGGTCATATCTCTGATTTCACCGGCTCGATGGTCTCTGGGGCTGCATTGCTTTGATAGTTCAAGGCATTATTTTTATGTACGGAAGCTTTCCAAGCGAAGACCACATCCGAATTCTTAGGGTTTACAGCATAGGGTCCATGGCCACATCAAGTGCAGAACGACCTCGAATGCTTTAAAGCGCTTGGCCGAAACAAGGCGCACAGACAAACGTACATGCGAAGTCTCCAAGAACTAAACGACGTTCTGGCATTGATGCTCTGCGGGAACGCATCGGGTCTGAGTGGACCTTATTACGGTTCCGGCATGGATGATATGTGTGCTCGGACGGGGTCTGAGTGCACGTTAACATGGTCCACCCATGGATGATATGCGTGCTCGGACGGGTCTGAGTGGAAATTAACATTGTCCACCCCTGGATGCTCTGCGTGTTGGGATCGGGTCTGAGTGGAGAGTATGTTTGCGCGAGCGGATAGGGTCGGGGTGGACGTTACCACGGTGCGAGCACGGATGCTCTGCGGCCTGTGCGCGACTTGGATTTTAGCAAGCGCCGAAGACTGTGTACAAACCGGTGTGTTCGGCATGTGACCCAAAGGAAACCCTGTAAACACCGAGGGAAATGGGATGTGTGCGATGTGGGCTTTGCCGAGAGCAGTGTACCCACCGGTGTATTCGGCATGCGACCCAAAGGAAACCCTGGAAATACCGAGGGAAACGGGAGGCGCGGACTGCGCGCGAACATGGCATCTGGAGGGTACGACTTGTGCAAGCGATCCAGGTCCCTTGGTCCACTTTGTTCACTCGGTGCACATGCCAACCAACCCCCGACTAAACCTTAACCGCTAAACCCTCAACACCTAAACCCTAAACGCTAAAGCCCTGAGCCCCAAGCCCAAGTGACCCAAGTGACCATGGTCGCTTGCACAAATCGTGGAGATATCCCCAAACCAAGTTGACCAAATGACCCAAGTGGCGCATGCAGATTAGCGGTTCTCGAAAGCTCTGGCAATCTACTGGCACCAACACCACCACCACTACGACTACCACTACCACTACGACTACGACTACTACTACTACTACTACTACTACTACTACTACTACTACTACTACTACTACTACTACTACTGCTACTCCTAATACTACTCCTGCTACTGCTCCTGCTGCTGCTGCTGTACTGCTCCGCTGCTGCTCTAGAGGTACGTAGCAGCAGCAGTAGCAGAAGCAGCATCGAATGGCTTTCCGTTTGAACGCCAGTGGATTTGCAGTCTAGAACTCCAGCCTTCCGTGGATAAAAAAGCTGGTTAGAAATTTTTGCACCTGTGGTTACCTCCAACGTCCGATAGTTGTGGAACCAGGACTACGACTACAAGACCACTCGAGTTGAGCGAGGCTTGTCTGCGCCGGGCGCGAATTGTTCAGAACATTTCGTAGCGACTTCCAAGCCCGATTCTAACGGCTCTGCAGTTCTCGATCTCGCTGATTCTACCCATTGGAAATCCTTCCCTCCAACCTCGACTCCTAGAGACAGTCGAAAGTCCGCCCAAGAGACCTAGTCTTGAAAATATGCACAAAGCACGCTGGTGATAGCATGTAGGAGTCACTGCCCAAAGGACCTCCATTCCTTTCAAGAACGGTAGCAAGATTGGCCTAGCAGATCTCGGAGCCCAAAATAGCCGGCTTTGCGACACATCTGCTGGAATGCCGTCTGCAGCCGCCACGCAGCCAACCATTGCTGCTAGCCTGAACGCAGAGCTGCTCGCTCTCACCACTCTGTTGTCGGAGCATGTCTCAGCTCAAATACCGCGGACGCACGTTGTCATAACTTGTCATAACAGCTTCGTTGTCTTGCTGAACACGCGATCTATGTCCGGGCGTCGAGCTCGGGAATCGAAAGGCCACCGACGGGCCTCGACAGCACGACATGTACAAGGCCCTCAGACTTTGACTGTCGAAGCCTCCTCGTCGACGCGACCCGCTAATCAGAGTCTCAGGGCCGTAAGGTGCCGGCGCATGTCTCGGTAGACCTTGGCTGCTCGTGTCTTCCAGGAGGTCCAACAAGTTCGCGGCCTTCACCTGCAGCAGACCAGCAGACTCCAAGACGAGGACCCGAAAGGCAACGTCAGGTCTACACTGCCTCAACTCCGGCAAGTTCGCCGTAAACATCCGAAAGCACCTGTCGGGACTCTGATTAGACCAATGGATGCCCTCTCTCGCTATCACGACTGACATGACTGCCACATCTTGCATGGCACGGGGCACAGGAAGATTCCAAGTTCAAAAATGTGGATCCAGCCGACTAGAAGTCTTCTGTTGAATACTGCACTGCATTCGAAGCCCCCTTCGCGCCTGGCTCAAACGGGCCTCGGGGAGGCGGAGGCTGTACTTTGATGATTCGGCCAAGGGTCGCATGCCTGGAAGGAAGCTCAGTCAGAGGGGACACACAAGAGCAACAGAACATGGCTAAGAGTGGCTCTGCATATTCCCCAAAATAGGATCCTGTCTTGCAGAAGTGCGAAGCTGCATGACATGCCTGGTTTCAAAAGACTCAACCTGGCGTTAGCACCACCTCCGCTGCTGCTACTGGAACTGCTGGCTGCTAATGCTACTGCTACGGCTAAGGCCACGGCTGCTCCTGCTACAGCTACTGATACTAATACTTCTGGACTAACGCAAGGTCGTATAGCACTATGTGCGAGACCTAAAGCATAACTCCACCATCAAGCGTCAGTGACACGACTTTAAGCCAGGGTTCGGAAACCGCAAAGACCTTCAGCACCGTTGAGTCCCAAGCCTCCAAGTCCAGACGAGATGGCAGCCAGCGGAGCCTTGGCGAAGTCTCGGACCCAACCAGGCAAGGACCGACCGCGGGAGCCTGAGCTGGTGGCCAGCATGGCGGCCTCTCCGAGCTCAGCCATGTCTCAACTTGCACCCTGGAGGCCCTAGGCCCTAGAGCCCGCACCCCTCGACGTCGGGCCTCCTTCCGGGAGCCGGCAGCCCGGGCGGCAGAGCCTGGCCTTTGCTATGAAGCGCATGATGCGGCTAGCTGCCCCTGCTCTGCGATTGTGAATGATAAGCGGAGCTTAGACGCATCAGCTGCGAAAGCCAGGGAGACTCCCTGCTGCCGTCAGCTAACTCAGACCTGAGTGCGGCTTCGGCTCGGCACGCTGAAATTCGCTGGGTATCAGTGGCGCACCAGACTTGTAGCTCCGGCGTGGGGTCACGCGTCAGGCCGAGATGCCTGTCCAGATATCTCCAAAGCTTGAACATCTGATTTTGATTTCATTCCGCAGCTCTTGCTGAAGAGATCTGCTGCAGGCACCAGTCCGCCTCGCTTGCCAGGCCGGCAGCTTTTGAGCCTGTGGAATCAGGGAGCCCCCGGGGGTGCAATGCAAGGTCCAAGCTAAGTCGGCTTTTGTTCAAAGCATCGTCTTGCGGCCTCTCGCACTTGCTTGAGAGTCATGACAGCGATGTTGTTACTCAGAAGGCTCAAGTCCTCGAGCACCTGGACCGTTCTCTCTTCCCCATGCTGACACTCCATTCACGAGATGGTGGTCTGAGAAGCAAGCAACAGACGGCGTAAAGTTCTTGAGCATGTGCCAGAAAATCGGGTCGGGTTTCCCCGAAGCTCGTAGATCCTGGCACATGGCTGAGAGCACCCTCTTTCCCGCCGAGCGGCTCTCTTCTGCTGAGAGTGCCGCGCCCGGCATCCTCGACTCCAAAACCCGACCCCTGACTCTGCCGGAGCACCACGAGGCTGAAGAGCAGCTTTGTGTCCTGCACTTCACTGCCGAGTCGAACCGGAAACTGGTGAAGGTCTGCGGATTACACATGATCAGCCACCATAGCCCCCCCACGGCATCTCTGCCTTCTCTGTGAGCTGCAAGAGGTCATATGTCCTGGAAACGAAACGGCCCATGAAGGCAAACCACAGTTCTGAATGTCAGACAGAGCTGCTCGCAGCAGAAAAACGCAGGAAAAACGTATGGCAAGCAGATTGCCGGACGCGGCTCGCATCCTCTGGTAGTCATCTGGGACGACTTTCCTCGAGATCTTTGGGTCCTGTTTGTACCTAACCGAAATCCACAAGACGATGCTCGACTTGCACTAATGCTGGGCTTCAGATGCTTGGTGCAGCCGCATTTCAATGAAATACTGTTGCGGACATGGAGGGAGCACTGAAGGAAGTTGCTCACGAGCGTCATGGCCAATGCTTCCAGGCTGGCCTATGGGGCAGAGTGTTTTCGCAAATGGTTCGTTCGGAACAGGCCTCGTAACTGCAGATCAGGAAGTGCGTGAACACACAAAGTTCTGATTTGGCTCGATCTTTTTCAGTGCGCCCGAAGCTCATGGTGTCGAGGATAGATGGATGAATGGTTGCAATCCTCGAACCGATCACGGAGCACAATAAAGACCTTGCTGATGAACCGTCTAGTCGCAGGGCGCGCTGCTGGGTCCATAAATCCCTTATTGTTGTGATACTGACTGATTTTGGAGCACGGCAGTTACTCAGAGCACTCTGGGGTGCCGAGATTGCATGTACCGGGACAGTGACAGGTGCATGCTAGGAAAAACTTGGTGACGGAGCACAGAAGTTGCAGGTCTGAGGGAAGCGGGTCGCAGGGAACTTGGACCACGCGTTCTGCCGCCGCCCAGACCAAAGCTAATACCTTGCGAGAGTTGCAAAGCCGTGAGGAGAGTCGCAGTCGGACCCCACCGCCGCCTCCAGCCACGCCACCGTCCTGGGGCACGTGGTGGAGAGGAAGCTAGGGCCTCAGCTGCCGAAGGTGAGTCCACCAGATCGCACTCGCCACCAGCCAGTCCAGCGCCCGGGGCACGCTCACCGGCTTTCACATGCATCCGTGCATTCGGAATGGCGTAGGTTCCGCTCCAAAACAATGTGCTCGGACGGCCACAAGTCGAACCAGTGGCTTTCCCACCGAAACCTTCTTCACAGCAGGACGACCAGCGTGGAACCTTGCATATCTGTTCCTGAAATGTGTTGTCTGGATGGCGCGGAAATCACCTTCCACAGCGTGCCCCTGCCATCAGGGAAACCTCGGGTGTTCCGAGCCTCAGAAACATCCAGAAGACCACCCGTCGAACTTTGAATAAAGGCTCCGGAATGCGTGGTCCGGCAGGGTGCGGAAATCACCTTCCATTGCACCTGTCACCACGGAAGGGTCGGGCGGTTCGGCGAACGTAGCAGCAGTCTCTTCGAAAATTAAGCGTTGATCATACTGATCTGAAGCACGCTGTTGCGCGGATTGCGAAAGCAGCAGGCGGGTCAGCTGTTGAGGCCATGGACATGACCCGGTCAATGACCCAAGAAGAAGCTGGGGATTGTCGCCGCCTCGGCTGCTGCCCGGCGTTCTGTCGGAGCAAGGCGCCCAGCCTCGCGCAAATGCCGGGTGGGACGTCTCATCGACCTGATCAAGGGTATAGCGCTCAAACGACAGCATTATTGAGGAGCGAACTGCTAGCACAGCTCGCTGTTCCTACACCCGCTTGACCCCTGCTCCCACCTTTCGCACCTGGCAGCTGCTCATGACGGGGGCGTCAGGTTCCCTTGCACAATATTCCAGTTGCAGGTGCCCTTTCGAGCTCCTGCGTCGTTTCGGCTCCCACGGCCCCGACGGCTGCCCATCCAGATCCAGGGATCGCCGGCCGAGGAGCCGCGGCTCCGCCGAAACGCTCTGACAGACCGACATGGCGCGCAGCCTGACCTCGAGGCAGATATCCGATTGCTAGTGATACCCTGGGCTGCAAGCTATGCTCAACAGGAACACAAGATGCTGGTAGCACTATCAAGACTGCCTGACACTGCCAGCTTCGCACGTCGAGCGACAATAATGCTGACTCGTGATACACATGCTGGAAAGCACACAGCATGGTGCTTGTCCAACCCAACACACAGACACAGCGGCAATGTCAACTGGACACTGCAGCAAGCTCGATCTGTAAAGGCGCAATGCCAGCCTTCTTGTTCACCGACCGAACTTTGCGAAGCAAAGTGGTGTAGAACAACCTGAGCTTTCTCCTGCACGGGCGAACATCGGCATGGCCCTTAACGTAAGCACTACTTTGCGGCATTATCTGCTGCCGGTTGTCCCTATCGAAGCTGCCGCCTGAGGTGCTGTTTGCAGGTCAATCCTGTAAGATGTACAATGTACGAAGTACGCCTGTTTAGCATGCCCCGCCGTTCTGTCTCCTGAGGTGCTCCAGCATGAGCGTAGGCTTCACCAGCTTGAGGACGGTGAGGAACTTCGTCCTGGCACCACTCGTCCGGTACCGACCCAGCAGAGTCACACACTTGCAGAGACTACGACTGCCCCTACTGAACATCTCTCGGGTCGGTTCAATCGATTGCGTGTCCTTGTCATCTTCCCCTTCAGGTCATAATCACAGAGCCTGAAGAACCTGCAGCAACGTGATCTGGCATCAGTGATGTTCTGCACATACACGTGGTCTTCTCCGAAAACAGCTCTCTAGAATCACCTTGAAGTTTTCGCAGGTCTTTGGCATAAACGTTCACTAAAATAGATGGCGTATGATGGCATATTGACCACCGACAGCCAAATCTCCTGCATCAGCGAGGATTGAAATTCAGACCTCATGCCATCTGCTTGTATGAAAGAAATGTGCTGCGCAATCACCTTTTTCTGCACCACCTGCCCTACGATACCATGAAGTCCCGCACAAATAGCTGGCGCACGGAGCTTGAACGTCGGGTTATATTAAAGGAGGGAGATGGTCCACCCCCACAACCCCTCCCCACCCCGTCCCACGTCCCACATCCCACTGAACAACATCTAACACCCCAGACCCCATCTCCACCAGTGGACCTCGCAGAGAGAGCATGCCCAGTAAAAATCTTCAAGTCAGGTTGGTGGTTGGAACTCCTCACCCCACCCTGCGGCACCATGCCTCTTGGCCTCGAGCACTGACATGTTCCAGTGCTCTCCAGCCTGCGTTTGGAAGGCTGCCATTTCTCTCTGCGCGCTCGTGGGAGCCAGTCTCCACATGTCTCCGTGGCAAGGCAACCCACTGCATCTCTGGCTCTGCTCGCCTGAACGACGAACTTGCTGAGGTCAAGAGGTGCCTGGCATTCTCTGAGCACATCGACAACTGGTACGGATAACGTTCGCCTGCCCCAGGCCTGGGTGGTGATGTCTTCCAGAGGGTCATAAGCTTTCTCCACATCAACATACATCCTGCAGTCTGACAGTATGGAGGTAAAACATCGGGATGGCAGTTTCAGCGCTTCTTTTCGCTGAGATTGCGGCGTCTCTAGGCGCTGTCGCCACTCCTCAAGCAGCAGAACTGGCGACACCTCGGAATCGGCCAAGAAGTGCTTCTGCGTCTGTCCGGCCACAGAAGAGCTTGCGCCTACGCTAGGTTTCGTGCAGAACCCAGGGCAGCATAGAGCTCGGCAAGGGAAACCTGGGTGTGCACACAAGGCTCTGTAGTGCCATGGCTTTACCTGATTCTCATCTTTCAAACAAGACCTCTCCAGGAGCAGTTTTGAGGCTCCCAAGATCACCCCATGTGCCAAAAATCACCGGGGCAGGAGCACGACTCAGGGTTGGGGGTGGTGGGAGCATGATTTCGGGAAGTGACTGTGACGTCGTCTCACTATTGGTTCGCCAGTGTGCCTCACCGTCTTAAAGCAACTTGTTCGATGTTTGGTGCTAGATTGCTAGATCAGGATGCGCATTCAGATGCAAAGGGCTCAATAGGCACGAGTCTGTTTTCTCAGTGCACCCAAGGTCGCCTTGCACTGAACACGCTGAACTCAAGGATGGATGCAACAGCACTTCTGCTATACCTAAAAATGCTGAGATTCCGTCAGTGCCCGACATGTTCGGAGCAGCGACAGCCTGGTTTGTTCGTCTGCCGCTTTCTACGCCCACATATGCTGCGTAGAACGGTGTCACACGACTTGGCCACCAGCCGAAAAGATGTAAAGGTGCTCCTCCCACTCCAGCACTCCGACTTTGCTCCTTCTGTCAACTGTCTTTGGTGAACGGGAAAGGGGCAAACATTGACATGAGACATCAAGATAAGCATGCGGCAGGAGATGCCCGAAATGTTGGCAGCTGTATCTTCGGACACCCCAGGTCTGTCGTGCTGCCTCGGCGACACAGAGGACAGCTCGCGAGGTAGCTTGGGCGCTTGCACCGAGAAACATGCAAGACCATGGACGAGAAGTTACGGAAGGAATAGCAGATTCGACGACACAGAAGGACGACGAGCGGGGAGAACCCTGCGACGAGACATGCGGCGTTCTTCTTGAAAGCTGTTGGGAGCTGCTCCCATATGCTCCCATGACAGCCAGCACTGCTACCTCCCGGATCTCTGTGCCAGCAGCAATCATCTCGAATATCAAAGCTTGAGGGTGGCACCATCACCTCCATTGCCCTGCACGCCGAACCGTATCCGAGCGCAATCCACCTGGCATTGGGATGTCATGCTGAGATCGCATCCTCAAGTACCTGAACTGCACCGAAGGCATTTCGAGACATCTTTGACCGCACCTGCACCGAAGGTCAGCCAGGCAGCGCACTGGGGACATTGCCTGCCATGGGGCGAATTGCAAAGGGAAGCATGTTGCGAGCTTCAGGCAAGTACCTAAAATGGTCTTGCAAACAGGTCTTGATAACAAAACACCCTCCAGCCTATCGTGTGCTGGACCAGAAAACAACAAATGCCAGCCCCGTGCTCTTGGTCTTGGTTCAGGTCTTGAGGTAAAGAGGTTTCCTTCCCCCCGCACGCGCGCGAATGCACCGCTGCGGTGTCCGTGATTTCCGTGTTCCGGGTGCAGCTTCGCTGCTTGGCTTGACACGAGAATATATCGGGACCTCCTTTAGCTTCACAATCAGACCAAGGCGGCTATCTCTCTTGTTTGCCACCCGTCTGGCTTTGCTTTGCTCTTGGGCATGGGGCACAGGTAGTCCCAGTACACCCGCGGATCCGCGCAGCCCCATCCATCATTATGAGGGATGCGCTCGGCTGTGCAGTTTGGCTTTGGATGCTTTGGTCTTCAAAAGGATCGTGTGCCCCCATTTGAGTTTCAATTCAACGGTCAACTAGAGCGGATGCCTCAGGACCAGTAGCCGATGTGGGGGCGTCGGCTGGCTAGCAACGGTAGGGTAACAAAAGCGGTCTCTCAAAGGAGCGCATGCCCAGCTGTCTTCTGCCGCACAGCCAGAAAGGGTCGCGAGCTTCACCCCCACGCACGCAATCTCTCTTTCTTTCTGCCGGGCTAAGGGGTCACGTCGTGACCCGCAGGCGCTTGGCCCGCCCGACCGCTTTTGGCCCGCCCGACCGCTTTTGGTTTGATTTTGTGGCCGGCTTTTGGGGTCCCTCATGACTACGGCAACGACTGCACGGTATGCTCAGTGTTTCTCGGCTGGCACCCCCGGACCCCGAACACTACAACAGTCACACAACCCTGGCCTCATCTCCGCGCCCTACTTCTATCATGCCGAGTTGGTGCCACCGCAGTTTCTTAGGAGCTCCCATGCAAAGGAGTATCTTCCAACACACATCGTTACAGTCCGCAAAGCTAGCTGGTTAGTTCCTCCTCTCTCTTTGCTGCGCCGTGCCATGTCACAAAAAAGGTGTGCATTCGTGACTGTCCCTCAACTCCGAGTGGCTCCCGCTATTTTGTGCAAACAAGGACCGCAAGTGCATACCCTTTCTAGGATTAGATTCCTCACGGGGTGCCTCTCTCTGTGGAGTTCTTTGTTGAGGGCAAGTTAGGAAGGCAGCTCTTGTTGGCAACATACTACTTCAGCACAATCTCTCTCGCTCTCTCTCTCTCTCTCTCTCTCTCTCTGTCTCTCTGTCTCTCTCGTGCCCTTTGTCATGAGTCCGGCCACCTCGACCACTGCATAGAACTCACCAAGTGAGATCTCGCCACTCCTTGACCAGTCTGACAATTGCGAAAGAGGTCGTGCTGACCAGGAATCGAACGACTTGCATGAATTGTGTTGGGGCCAGCACCCCAGATAATGACTATTCTTCCATGCCACAGACTAAGTGGCTTGCCCGTCCGTATCGAAGAAACGGAAGATGTTCATGTGATCCTCGAAGCAAAGCTATGTTACGTCACATCTCAAGCTGTGCAGCAGATGTGTGTGTGTGTGTAAAGCTTGGGAATAACAAAGTCTTCGCCTCTTTCGGAATGTTCTTGAAGTGCTTGGTCAAGAAGGCACAGAACCTGGTGCAACCCGGTACCCAAGCTTCCTGTGAGCTTTCAGTCCTGGTCGCACAACCGCACAAAGAAGCGAAAACAGTTTGCGCGCCCTACACGACACTTTCTGCAAGAGATTCTAACCTCGACTCCAATTCTTTGCCGACAGGCCCTTCATCAAACAGCAACAGTTCTGTGGCGAAGTCGGAACAATGCAGCAGGATGCATGTCACACGTCTTGGCTCTCTGCTGCTCTTGCGGCAGCTCAACGTCCAGCATGTCACCAGTCCCTGGACGATCATAGAGCATTGCAGCACGCGGCGTGGCTTCCTCCCGTTAACCCCACCATGTTGCAACTGAGGCCATCGCAATACCGAAGCCTCTTGAGCTCGCGGATGGTCCCGAGAAAAGCCTCGTTCGAGTCACAGTCATGGTATCTACAGATCTTGAGATCTTCTGCGGCTCACAACTCGCCCAGATCCGGACATCGAAGGCGCGCTTTGTGGTGCAGAACCTATGCAGGAAGCGCACATCAAAAGGACACATCTCCGATGGCATGTTCATTCCTCCGTAATTTGGGCTTCCGATTCAAGCGCCTTTCCAACAGCTTCTGCCGTGCACCTGCTCAGGCATCGCACTCCATGTGCAGGCTTTCCGCGACAGAAACACAGTGCATGGTCTATCACCCTGTTCGACCGGACGGGCGGGTTTTGCCTAGCAGTCTCCCATCCAGAACGCAAGCCGAACTCCTAACGTGGTCCAATACTTCAGCAAGAGCTCGGGCGCCTTTGATCTGCTGCTTCCATGAAGCGGAGCCTGGACTGCACTGTTCGGTGCCCCTGGGCCTTAGGCCTGGGACATCCCAGAAGGAATCTCGGCTCTGCTTGTTGTGTTCCGGACAGACGTATGACTCTACGAGCAACACCGGTCACGGCTGCCGCTCCGACGGCCGGTGCTGTGCATCTTTGCCGGCTACTTGCAGCTAGGATTTCATTAGATTTCTGGTTGCCACGCAGCCAGTCAGTCGGTGCCTCGCTCTCTGCACTGACATTTGCAATTTTCAGTACAGCTCATGCACATGGCCGAGTGCTTTGGACCGCCAGTGCCAGTTGACCATTGTCCCATCTCATAATGATGCTGTCGAAGAGACCCAATGCAGAAATCCCGGCTCGGTTACACGCAGACTGGGTGACTTCTTACCCAGGCCTGTGCTGGAAATTGATACGCAGCTGCCACGGCTCTGAGCGGAGCCTCAACAGACTTTCGATGTTGGCCGATAGATTTGGACGTAATTGAACACATTGGTATCCGCTCTGTGTCACACGGCGCCTGCTCGGACGGACGGGCCGCGCTGCGGCGAGGAGACACGTGAGCCCGCCTTCTGAAGCCCAGTCGACACACGTGGAGACTGGAGTTTGCAAGCAGAAGCGAAATTAGCTGTGGCTGGGCATGGCGCATGTTTCGCAGAGTCATGCTCAGATTGCCCAGACCGTTGCCTCTGATGAGAGTAGCTTCGTTGTGACCGCCGAGTGAGGGCCTCATCGATGCATCAACACATCAGCTCAACCACGACAAAGCAACATCGGAACTGAGCGGCAGGCTGGAAACATAGTTGCTGGGATAGATTTGCTCCTGGTGGCAAGTCTTTACGCAGTCCAGGCTTGGCCGGTAAGAGCACACACGGGAACCATTCGCGACATTCAGCTTTTGGAGCAGCCCGTGGCTCCAAGTAGCTGTCCACAAAAGGTTCAGCCGGAAGCTGAAGTCGCCGAGTGACCTCCGCATCTCGATGCCAGCAGAGTGCGACATGTTCAACGGTTCGGCCTCTTTGTCTTTTACGTAGGCCGGAAGCCCAGTAGAATCCTGCACACAGGTGCACAAGGTTTCGTCGAAGTCGCTGTGGGCTTTCGGCATGGCCTCTGCTGCTGCTTGCCGCGGTGGCTCTGCTGGCGCAGGATCCAGCGCAGACGAAACCCCTGGCCAGCCAACAAGCTACACTAGAATCTTGACCATGGAACACCTGACCCGGAAGAAACAAGACGTGGCAGATCTACGGTGGGCAAGGTCGGGCAGAGCAGGAAGAGAGCCACCCTTGCCCAAAAGCGTAACGCTTGAAGCTGCTGCACCTAATGGTGACAGTTTCTGCGACGCCTCCTCATACTATGGAATGCGAGCCCATTCGTACTTTCAGCCTAGAACCTGCGCGGCTCTCAACCCGCATCCCCGAACTTACACGACCAAGCCTCCACCTGCTCGTGTGGATATTGCCTGTCATGAGGTTCAAGAGCCCGAGTCCGATCAGACTTCAGACACGAAGGGCGAGTTCACACCAGTGTCCGCACAAGCATCCTCAAGCCACTAGCTTTTTGGGAGTCGAGCGCCCATGCATTTGCAGGTTGAGGCCTTTGTTTTAAAGGGCAGCAGGTAGTTGAATGAGACGCATGCGACCCAAATTTTCGTAACTACGTCGCTTGGCCAACTTCCTCTGACCCCATCTCGGCCCCGGGAGGCAGGGCCGCCATTGGCGCCATTGCCTGCTCTCCGAGCGGCTGCGACATGCCTCCGTCGCAACCATAGCCAGCAAAGCCACCCAAGGCATTCATGTCGGGCATACAGCCACCACAACCATTCAGGCCACAGCCACATCCTTGTGGACAGCCGCAGCCACAGCTGCTACATGCTCCGCAGCCTGCGCAGCCGCATGCTCCGCAGCCGTCTAGTCCACACCCTCCGCAACCACATGCTCCGCATCCGGAACAGTCACCGAGGCCGCCACAACCACATGCTCCACAACCAGAGCAATCGCCTAAGCCACAGCCGCTGCAGGCACCGCACCCACCACAGGCACTAGCACCGCAGCCGCAACCGCCGCAGCCACAGGCACCGCAACCGCAGCCGGGGCATCCGGCGCAGCCACTGAAGCCAGCGCAGCCCAGTTGGGACGCCAGCCCACCCATCGCACTCATGTCACCGAGGCCCAAGCCAGGCATTGCTGTCATCCCTAGGCCAGCACAGCCCATGTTCATGCCTCCCATCATGCCATTTTGCGCATACGGGTTAGTAAGCTGGGTCACGTCAGTCCGAACTGGTCCATATCCAGCTCCAGGCTGCTGACTCGTAGCCAGCGGCATAGATCCACCTGTTACGTTCTTTGCGACCATCTGACCTGGTCTGTTGATGCTAGGCTCAACGTCGTAGGTCACCACGTCGCCAGGCTTGGGCATGGAGCCGACGCACTGCTTCACGTGCAAAAACACGTCCGGCCCGCCGTCCTCCACCGCAATGAAGCCGAATCCTGTCCGGATCAATATGCCGGGCGGGACAGAAAAGGGGGGGACCTGACCCAAGGGCCCCTTCAGGGCCGCTAGCAGTAGGGCCTTCCGCAGGACAACAGAGCCTAAGGTTGGTCCTTTCTCGGCATTGAAGGTTTTGACGGTGCCTTGTCTAGTGCCCATGCCTGAGCTCGACGTGCGGCTCGGAGATAAAATGCAAGAACAGGGATTCTTGGGTAGTCTCCGACAAAAACTTGAAGCACACAGCATCACCGGCATTCTGCTTGCGGAATAGATGCTTTTCGCAGCTCCAAAGGAGCCAAACCTTAGATTGAATGATGCACAAACATGAGTGGAAGAAGGAGGCTTCTGCTTGACAAGACTTTCTTTGTCTACAGACCCATGTACTTGCATGCGTTCTGCGCTTCGGCAGTAAGGGTCTCATGCTGACTGGCCAAGCACACAGACTGCATAGCATATCTTGCGCTAGACTTCCCTCAGTTGGTCAGAGATCCGTGCCAGAAAGTTTCGCGAGAAATACAAGCCACCTGCAATAAGCGACTCTTTGCGTCAATCTTGATACTGCTGCCGTCAGCTTGCTTTGAGGAGTCGAACGGTTCCCGCACAATGGCTGTTTAGGTGCTTGGAGGTGCCGGCTGCACACCCGGCCCTAGACCGACGATGACCCTCGGAGAGTCGAGCTGAGTGTGCCAAGAGTAGCTCGACATGCCGAGGTGCATCGGCAAATAAGAGAGCTATCCAACACCAAAAATTAAAACTCTTCAGCGCGTACACAGGACGACAGCCGCATCAAAGCAACACCGAATACGAGACGGAACTTTATCCTGCTTGACTTGAAGGCTGCCGCATGCCACGGGTCGCAGCAGAGCGGCTGCAGGTTGACACGCCTTTCAACCAGATTTGCCTTTCAAACAGATTTCAGCAAGCCCATTCGTCTGCTTAAGCCAGCTTTGTGGACGGGATCCCAGTGTCGGAGGCTGAAAGCAGCAGTTGCAACGTCTTACGACGCGGCGGTAAGCCGCGTTGATCTCTCCCTAGCATCGTCTTGGCCTTCGTACCATCACGAGCTGCGCTGATGGCGTTGCGATGGTGAAACCCCAAATGTGGAATCTGCTCGACATGGAAAGGGCGGAGGGAAGTGGAAGAGCGAAAGGCTCATGGACAAGGGTGCGAGATCGATCAAGCTCACCGGGCACCTTGCCTTGGTCCACGTTTGTTGCGTCACGGACGGCCACAACCATTGCGATTGTTGCCCGTGTTGCGTATCCATGAAAATTGCGAAGATGTCGACAGAGTGCCTGCTACTGGGGAATCCACATGCAGCATTAGGCTGTTTGAGGTAGTTCCATTGCCGCACATCCTGCAAAGCCTGTATGCCTTGGTGCCTTAATATTTAACCCCCCAAAAGAAATCTGCAGCTAAGCTTCGGGTCTGCGGCGCCAGGCTGCTCTTTCACAGCGGTCCCACCCTTGACGTTCTTGGCCTCTGGGCATGGTCGGAATGCATGTCTGCCACTGCGTGCTGTAATTCAGCTGCGTTCTTCCAGCTGCTGTGCGACCGACGCTGAAAAGTGATCTGGAATACATGTCTGATAATCCTGGCATGGCCTGCATCTGGCCTGGTTTGGATTTGCTGGGCTCCAGGTCAAACCTTGGGGCACGGACGGGTCGTTGAAACTCTTAAGCACGCTAGACGTCAGCCTGACATGTAGATGGCAGTTCCTGGTTCGAGTACCACACGTAAAACTATACATCGTGTTCAATGTTGGCCCAACGTACGGGATCATACCATGATATACCATGAGTTAAAACTTTGAAACCCCCTGCTGTCCAGAAGTACCGCAAACTCCAAGGAGCGTCAGCACATCGCCTGCGGCTGGCTGGTTCCCATCAATGCAGTCCTTGAGGGACCGTCCATAAGAATGTTTCCGAGACATGGACTTGGGACTCTCCAATAGAGGTGTCCTCCCTGCCTAGTTTCGGGATCCCTGAATGTCGGCCGACCACGTGCAGCGCAAGAGTAAATGCTGAAACTCAGTCCCGAGATGTCTGGGTGCATGATTCACAACATGTCCTTGATGTGGATGAAGACGTCTGTTCCTGTGCCACCTGGGATTCAAAAACCAGTCGCACATGTAACCCACCGAAACAAAAAATATTGTCCAAAGCCACAATCGATGAAACCGAAGCCCTTCGCACCATTGAAGGACTTCACGGTGCCCGTGGCGCTCATGACAATACCTCGCGATGCTGCAAAGGGCTTGCGGCAGGAATCGTGGCTCCAAGAGCTAAGCCAGGCACTGTTTGGCGGCTGTGCGACATGTATGTCGAACTAATCTCAAAACTAAAGCCGCACCCTGAGAGCCAGACGGCAAGTACACAACAGTCTTTGCCGAAGATGCATCGCGCTACACGCGTCCAAACAAGCCAGGTCAACGGAGCAAGGTAGGGATTCTCGGTCGAGAACGTCAAGCCTCGGTCCAGGAGCTGATTCGCGGCGCCGCGGACTTCGAAATGCTGACGTGGAATGCAAGAATCCACAGTGAAGTCAGCAAAGCTGCACTTTTCGGCCTTGAGTTTTCAGAGACGCTCTCTGGATTCAGAAGCTCAGTTGAGGCCTGAAGCATAAAGGTCGCGAAGTTCGCTTTGGGTACGTGTGTATAGCGGTCTAGATCATGCCTTCTGTCGTGCCTCCCGAGCTGTGCTACTTACATGCTTTGGTGAGATCGTCGGGAACGTCTTGGCAGTGCAAGGCTAGAAAATGCACACATGCCAAGAGTACTTGGCTGTCCCAAATGCACTCTGCATCAGGGATGAAACGACTCCTGCCCTCTGAACTACGACGTCTGCAGCCTATGCCGACGCGCGCTCGAAGCCCTGGTAGCTCCACGAGTCCGGATTCACCACGCGCGACTCACAGCCACGAGAGTCGTGGTCGAAGTTCAAGCAGCAAGTCCATGCCTCCCAAAGCGACACTGCTCTACAAGGTCGAGGAGTCGAGGAGCCGAGGCGTGTTTCGGCAGGTCGACGCCTCCCGCTTCTCTGCCTCGTTCCAAACGAAGGTCCCAGGGTGAAAGTGCTCCTTGTACCTGCGGTCCTGCTAGCACTCGCAGACTCCAAGAAGCACGGGGGCCCTTTCAGGTGACAATCACAGGGTCCTGGGTCGTCAAAGACAGGTTTGGCCGGAAGCTCTCATGCTGCACGGGGAAGCGAGACATCTTCTCGTCAGCCAGGAGCTTTTCATTGAGCAGCCTGCGATGACGTAGTTGGCTACCCGAGCGCGAGAGTTCTATCCCAAGCTCAGACTACCCTAAAGAATCGCCTCCTCTCCGATACCCTTTGGAAGAGTATACCGGCAGCTACTTCTGCATTACACCATACAGATACTCAGCCGCCGCACTGACTCGCATCAGACGTGAGCGGTGCATGAGTCCACAGAATCTTTCCATAATCTAAGAACAAGTCCGACAAAATGTGTTGGTTGATGCATCGATATCGAATTCCCGGCAACCTCTGCGCCATGGCTTGAAGCCGCTCTTCAGAAGCTTGAGGGAACTCGACTTTGAGCTCTCGCTTGAACTGGTCCTCCAACATCCAAAGCCCCACTCAATTTGCGACTTTCCTTGCCTTGGCTTCGGCTGAACCAAGACGAGAGTCCTTCAGATCCTGGAAGTCCACCTTCCGCTCACGAAGTCTGTCGTTCATGTTGGTGATGGCCTGGACAGGGTCAGAGTGACACTGGGGGCTGTTGCTGCATGCTGGTTGTGACTGTTGCTCCCGTCATCGCTGCTGCTGCATTCTTCTCGCTTCGGCCAAGAATGAGCGATCCCAGGGGGTGGTTGCTCATATTCCCGCACTGTTTTCAAACAGAGTAACGATAAAGCAAAGGAATACTCTGATCTGTGCCACCTGCATCTTTTTCCAGCGTGGAGCCACGAGAGGCGTGTGTTTGTGTGTCTGACACAGACAGGGGCTCTCTGCTGAGAGCGACAGACTTGGCAACATCAACTCTCGATGTGAGAGCAGCGATGTCTGAGCTGGCATGGACAATCGAAGCTTGCTATCAGCAAGGGCCGGAGCATGCATTCCCATGTTGCTGAGAGATGCACACCGCTTGGCAACACGGACGGATACACGGACAGTTACCAAAACAGGTCAAGCACAAAAGTGGCAGAACAGGCAGGGGACTCATGTCAGCGGCAACGGATCAGCATAAGACAAGAAAAGATATTATCCTGTGCAACGAAAAGCATCGACATGCTGTGCAGCGAAGGTTTAGTGGAGTGCCACTGAGCGCATAGCTGTGGAACATGGTTACACAGAGGGGGTTGTGGCAGTGAACTTCTCCTCCGTAAATGAGATATGCATGAATCTGTGTTTTGATTGCTCAACTTCAGAGGCGTTCGTTGCAGAAGCCAGCACATGCTGCTAGACACGTTTACAACAAGATTGCTGCAAGTATCATAACTGCGTTTGCGGCATCACCAAGGCAACATACGACTTTGTGGCCTTCGTAGGATTGACGTAAGCATCCTTGTTCAGCTTGCTCTCCTCAGTCTGGACACTGACATGTTCTGCCAACTTCCGAGCTGGCATGGCAGTCAAGGCTGGAACGATATCGACGGTATGGGGCACAGGTCAGTGTAGGCTTTCTTGTCTTGCTCGCCATGGAACCTTGCCCATCATGCGCCGGCGACGGTCATCCTCGGTTACGCGGAAAAACACATGATTGTGTCCTCCAGTGATCGGAACCTTGATGATGTGTTGGAGCTGGCACCGGCAAATAAACACAGAAGTGCTACTGATCTATCTGAAAGGTCACAAGAGATGCAAAGTAAATCCAGATTGCGGTCGCTCTTGTCAGAGTACTAAGCTACTCTTTGTTGCTATAGTGCGGGCTCACTATCTCGTCCTAAACCGTTCTCCCATTTTTCTCTGCGACAGCGAGAGAGAGAGAGAGAGAGAGAAAAAGAGAAAGAGAGAAAGAGAGAAAGAGAGAAAGAGAGAAAGAGAGAGAGCGAGAGCGCGGGAGAGAGAGAGAGAGAGAGAGAACAAAAAAAATTGCATCCAGGAAACCTTCTGCTGCACCACCGCATGGGCCTGAACAATGTCCTCCTGCGACGCACTGCCACGGACTCGACGCAAACTCTAGCCTCCTTCAGAACTTCATGCAACGGTTTCTATCCATGCGCACGATGACTCCGATAACACTGGGAAGCCCATCCACCAAGGAAGCGTCTGATTCGGGAGCCTTCCTATCCCCAGATATGTTCACTCCCACCCTCACCTTGGTGTGAGAGCTGTAAGAAGAATTCCAGTCACTCCAATGATCGGCGATGCAGTGGGCTGGCAGGCCGCGCTCGTCGATTGCATTGAACCACCTGCCTGCAAACACGCCGAGCAGCAATACAATATGGAGAGAGAGAGAGAGAGAGAGAGAGAGAGTGAGAGCGACAGCTATAATAATTCATATATATATATATATATATAGATAATGTATCTATAAATCTATAAAAGCATATATATACATATATATATATATATGCATATATATATATATATATATATACATATATAGATAGATAGATATATACATATATATATATATATATATATATATATATATATATATATATATATATATATATATATATATTTATGTGTGTATATATATATATATACATGTATACATCTACTCTATAAAAAAATATATCGGACCAAGAAAAGACTGGGTAAGGCCGCCTGGCCTGACAGCTTGCCGACTGGCCCCTGGCCAGTGAGTGCCACAATGAACCTCAAACAAAGCTACATGGAAACCCATAATGCATGTTGCAGGCGTTCTGCAGAAGCCCGTAAAATGTGAGGAACTAGACAATCTTTGGTCAGATAGTTTGGGGTGGCAGCGTTGCGCAGGTGGATTGGCGAGGTGGGCTGTGTACGTGTGTGCAAGTGTGGGGAGGAACTGCTTCACCACTGAAGTAGGAGCTCTGAAAAGCACAAAATTGACTTTTCCTCGGACTATCCCTACCTGGGTGTTAGGTTGCTGTAGCTTGTGCCGTCGTGCGTGTGACGACATGTTCAACATACGTCATCAACAGCAGGTCTGCCAGCACATCTCGAGAGAAGGCATCTCCTTGCTGCGCGGCTCACCGTCCTACATACAGCCCCCTCCCCCCGCGTCAATGGATGTTCAAGCAGAGGCGAAACTTGCGCAGGTCGGACTATGAAAATGGATGCCTCTGCAGAGGGGGTGGGGCACGAAGCGCCTACGCCGCGTCTTAAATCGAGACAAGTGGCTTATGACGTTCGACGATCGCCTCATCGGTGTGAGCTTTGCATGGCTTGAGAATCTTCTCGTCGTGGAGTCCAGCTCGGACTTGAAGTAAATGGCGTTTCAAGTCCTGGGAGCATCAGAACACCACACAAGCCAAATGAAAGTCGAGGCAAGGCCCAGCTTTCTGCTCAACTCTCCCGGACTCTGCGGAGCTAAGACTTTGAAGCTCTGCAGTTTGAGAATGCAGCCGATTCATGCAAACTTACATCAAGCTCGCGCGGAATGCTCGAGCACCGTGTCGTGAATGCGATTGATGGCGTCTTGAATCTGCTCAGCACGCTGCAGTCTCGCAACAGGCCGCCCATCGATCTTCGCTTTGCAGGCCCGGCCCTTGCCTGACCATATCACCAGTCACCAGCCTTACTCCGGGAATCGATTCTGCACGCAGCGAACGTATCGCTCAACGTTTGGGCCAGGACAGTTTGCCAGAGCAGCGCCGTGGCAATATCCCTGCTGCTGCTGAGCGTTCAGATATGCGATGGCCATCTGTCTTTCGCACAGTGCAGCGCAGTGCTTCACGTCGCGCCCCGTTGCCTTCGGCTTCACATGGAGCTACGAAACATGCAGGGCAGTTTGCAAGGATGGAAGGTGTTCGTGACCCTACTTTAAAAACTCTGCGGCCGACCTGCGCCAAAGAGCTCACCTCGGCAAGTCTTGCCAAGTCATCCTCCTTCAAGTGCTTTGCGTATTTCCTCCACATCGTGCTCAAGTGCTCCTTCTCCGGATGGACGAAGCTTACAACTTCTGCTCGATGCCGGACATCCCACGGTAGCTTGTCTATGCAGTTGGTAGTGCCCAAAACCAGAACTTTGCTTGCAGATGGCTGGCATACCCCGTCCAGAAATTGGCGCAATCCCGATAAGAAGGCCTCGTGGGAGGCGTACTGGTCGATCTCGTCCAGAAACAAGATACAGTCTCGACCACGGATCTCCTGTCGAACTTGCGAAGCCCAGCCGCCCGTGAAGTATGCCTGTCCACTAGAACCAGACACTTGCGTCGGGTTCACGGTTAGGAGAGGAAGGCCAAGGGCACGTGCGAAGCTGACTGCATGCTTGCTCTTGCCTGTACCCGGAGGGCCGCTTAGAAGGACCATCTGAGCTCCATCAGAATTCGACACAGTGTCCTCTTCTCTGGTTATCCTCTGATAAAAGCGAAAGTCGTCACAAAGCTCAGCGTAGTGGGCGAGCAGCTGCAGCTGCTGGGCTTCCGTTCCGACGAGTCCATCAACCCCAAAAGCACGCTGTCCTTTGGCCTCGGCACCAGAAAGCAGCTCCTCGGTGAGCCGCGGGCCTTGTGGGACCGCAGGACTGGCACCGGCCAAGCCCGGCAGAACATGCCCGACGGCTGGGCCGACTTGACCTACCGGAAGTGCCGCAGCGGTGGGCCGATCTCGTCGGGGCGGTAGCTCCAAATCCTCTAAAGTGACTTGCAGTTTCGGCGCTGGCTCAGTTGCCTGGCTGTCCGTCTTCCCTGCTGCAGAACCCATCAAGGCAAGACTCGCACTGTCCTCTTATTTTCTGGCGACATGAACCCATCACATGCTTACAGAAACCGGCATGATCAACCAGAGTTGTAAAATGGCAGCCAACAGGAAATGCTCGTGGCAATGTTGCATTTGAACCATCTTGCGGCTCAAGTCGTCTTCCGGAGGGTTAGATAGGCTTACTTCATCCTCTCGGGCTCCAAAAGAAATCGTGCTGTGCAAGAGACGAGGAACCTTGTGAACATCCTTCTGAATCTTTTGGTCGGCAATAGTTGAGGAGTTCCTGAGCAGAAAGATCCAGCACACGGAATTGCAAGGCTGGCCAACAAGCTCGAAGCCCAGATTGCCTGTCAAGGCGCCAGTCGCGCTTTTCAGTGCCCAAGATGTTTGGCTGTTTCCTTTTTTGGACAGCTCGTTTGGACTCAAGCACCTGGCGGGCAGACTGTGACTGCAGCAAAGCATATTCGGGATACCGTGATTGTTGTTCGAACTACTCCTGCGATCACTGTTGATGTTGTTACTGTTGCCACCACTACTACTACCGCTGCTCCTCACACTACTACTAAATACTCCTCCTCCTACTGCCACTGCCACTGGCGCTGCTGCTGCCGCTGCCACCACCACTGCCACCGCCACTGTCACTCCTGCTACCCCTCATCCAACTACTACTGCTGCTACCACTGCTGCTGTTTCTACTCCTGCTCCTGCTCCTGCTCCTGCTCCTGCTCCTGCTCCTGCTCCTGCTCCTACTCCTACTCCTACTGCTACTGCTGCTGCTGCTGCTGCTGCTACTGCTACTGCTACTGCTGCTGCTACTGCTACTGCTACTGCTACTGCTGCTGCTGCTGCTGCTACTGCTACTGCTGCTGCTGCTGCTGCTGCTGCTGCTACTGCTACTGCTACTGCTACTGCTACTGCTACTGCTACTGCTACTGCTACTGCTACTGCTGCTGCTACTGCAACTGCCACTGCTACTGCTACTGCTACTGCTACTGCTACTACAACTGCTACTGCTAGCCAGCCCCCCTACCAACCACCTGGCGCCTAAACCCATCGTCATCATCATCGTTGGGATTGGACTACGACATCACGAAAGTACTGTAAATACCGGCTAAAATGGATGTGCGCTTAAGATGCACGTCAACAATCCCCAGTCCCCCCGACCCCTCGCAACCCCCCCACCCCGGAAGCAGCAACGGTGCTGAAAAGCAGTGGTCAGCTATGGAGTACAACATGACGAAAGTACTGTAAAGACCGTGTAAAAACAGATGTGCTGTAAACGAGTATTTATGCGGGGTGGTTGGTAGGGGGAGTGCGCCTACGCCTACTCCCACTGCACTCCTACTCCTACTCCTACTCCTACTCCTACTCCTACTACTACTAGTACTACTACTGCTGCCGCTGCTACTACTACTACTACTACTACTGCTACTGCTACTGCTACTGCTACCATCCTGCTACTGCTACTGCTACTCCTACTCCTTGCTCCTTACTCCTTACTCCTTACTCCTACCTCTTACTCCTACTCCTCCGCGTCCTACTCCTCGTCCTACTCCTCATCCTCCACCTCCTCCTCCTACTACTGCTACTACTAATAACAATACTACTACCACTACAACCATCGGAATTTCCAGTATTGTAGATTGCGTATTCAACTGTTGTTGCATGCTGGAACGTGGCAAAGAGACCGCCACAATGTGAAGAAACAACACAGGCACAAGCCGAGGCTATTCACCCCAACCTCCCAACCTCGTGTGGCACATCTCCACTGTGGAACACCTTTTGTGCCAAGGTGTAATTGATCTTGTCACTCTTGGCAGACCCCACCTGTCAGGGGACGTCGTGCCCTTGCAGGCCCTTGAATTGGGGTGGGAGAGGCCAGAATGTGAAAAGTCAGACGTAGGTTATGTTACGCCAAGAGCAACAGTGCCTGGAACTTACTTGTCAGGTACGGATGGGTCATGGAGGATCGGAGCGTCGCCGTGGGCTCCATGGTTGCTGAAGCAGCCGAAGCACCCAATGTTGCGGACGTCATGAGCTCCTGAAAATAAACTAGCTGGATACTACTGTCCGAGATCTCACATCACCCAATCAAAAGACACCCGGAGGCCCCGGCAGCTTGTTGCAAAGCGTGACGTTCCTGCACCACAGAGGCCAAGTTGCCTCCGACTGGTGCAGGCAGAACCTTGACACAGCTCTTTCCTTTGGAAAGGTTGCTGAATGGAAGTGAAAATGAGCCACATGGCTGCGGTCACCAATTCAACGAACCCGCGTCCACAAGTTTCGATGCTCGAGCAAATGCCCATGACCACACAAAATCCGAGTGTCTGAGACGGTTGCTTGGTAGGACCGTATCACGCGGCCTGTGAGAAGAGCAGCAAGAAGCAAGAAGAACCGACCGAACATACGTCTCCAACACCCCTTTCTTTCAGGTAGGCTGAACTTCAATCGCAAATGCTGGCCTGTGGAAAGCCTGCAGGGGCACTGTTCGGAAGCTTTCGCGGCCTGGCTCTGCTGAGGCTTTCGTTCAAGCCCTCTTCCGGGGCATTTCAGAGATCAAAACCACTTCCACCTTTGCTGAGATTCTGGGACCCCGGCTCGCAGCTTGGCGTCGCGAATGTCGGAAAAGGCTGGAGCGAGGAGGTTGCAGGAGCATCCAACGTTTGGCATGAGTCTTGGCTATCATGCTCCTGGCCTCTGCAAATCTCGATGCTTCGCTTTGCGAAGTTGACCAGAACCCTGCCCCAACGGTCACATCATCATTCTACGAGGAATCTACTCCAGATTCTCTGCCCACCGCCCAACAAGCGAATAGGACGGCTCTCTGCATGTTCATGTATCAGCCAATCCATCCTCGTCCAGCATGACTTTTTCTGTCTCAAAAGTCGCGACAATGCCTCGCTAGGAGTCAAGAAGGAAAGCCAAGCCGACGTCAGCATCCGCTTGTTGAGCAGCTGCCAGGCAACACAAAGCCGGAAAGCCGGACTTGCCGCTTGCAAGCGAATTGAATGTAGAGACTTCACCTACCCTTTCGGAGGCTGGAAAAGCACCTGTGCCAAAAGCACAAGGCAGGAGCGGCCGAGGATGCGCACTTCTGTTTCTGGTAACGGTTATAGTTGATATGTAATCATAGAAATATGCATATAACAACTGTGTATTTATAACTGCTTACATATAGGTATATATACACACACATGTATACAAATCAACAAAACGTCAATTGAGAGAAAGAGTGAGAATATGGCCACCATCTTGCTGTACACATGGATTGAATAGTTGCTCGCGCAAATTTGGAAAACAGGATGCGCGAAGCCACAATGAGTCTCGCTGAAAGCCCATGCCTTCAATCGAGTGGAGCGAGACGCCAGTGTCAAGCTTGGCGAAACGCAAGTTGAAATGTGCGAAGCTATGGACTCGCCACACCCAGGGAGCTAAAAACGGTAGATGCACCACGACGTGCAGCATGCACAGCGACTAGACTCAGGAGAATCATTATTGGAGCCAGCTGGAGAATGTTCTCGGGTGTCGGAGCTGAAGAATGGTTCCACAGAGCAAGAAGTGCAGAACAAGCTCCAGTTATGTCCACGAGCGCCTCGAAGCTTTCAACGAAAACATCTGCATTGTCGAGGACTAAAGCACGACACCTCTCCAATTTCTCCGGCATGGAAATATCCGTTTGTGATATGATGTGCTGTAGGCCATCGGTGATTTCTGTGCATACTGAGAACCCCTTTCGCTTGGCTTGCACCTGCAGGGCAGCCTTGAGAGGCGAAAGCCATCCAGCCGGGCTTTCCGGGCTCTGAGGGCCCTCCCCAGTGCCCAGTTCGGAACGGCTTTCCACTTCGGCCGCTTCTTCGATCCCGGCATCCTCCAAAAGCTCCTTGGCCAACGCGACAAGGAGACTGTCTGAGGAGTTCTGAATGCACTGGGCCAGCTGTTCAGCATCAAGGGTGACATACAACGCACCGGTGGATGCAATCATCTTCTCGCCATCACAGCACCTCTTCACGACCTCGCCGGGTTGGATAGTCAGACTTTTCTCTGAACTCCACGTTTCTACTTCCCCACGGACAAGAACTTGAATCTGCCATGTCGTCGATCCCTGCAACACGTCTCCTGCTGCAGCGGATGTCCATTGACAATGCCCACATGCCAGCAACTTCTGAAAGAGAGTCGTAGAACAACCTCTGTCGTGAAAGCCACGAGCAAAAAGCAAAGCCTCTCGCTCGTTCAGGGACACTTGCTCATGGGTCCGCAGGGATTTGAAGGCTCCTAGAAGCCCTGACAACAGGACCGGGCCCATTGGGCCGGATTCGAACAGGTCGTTGAATGCACCGGACATGTCATTTGCAAGGACTTTGAACTGATCCAGCCATTCAGCCGGAAGCATCTGCCCTTCAGGGCTGTGGGCATGCAACACGAGCACCACACTTGCCAAGGTGATGAGAAGCTCACTTGTGTCAGCCAGCATCTCACTTGTCACATCCTTGCCGACAAAAGCAGCGATCGTGCGGTAAAGCTGGCTCTTCGGGGTGCCTGGTTCGTTGAAAACGGCAAGCAGCCGCTCTGCCATCTTCAGTGCACTGTTCCATCCCGTGGCTTCGGCCAAATTCTCGCGCGCGCCCTCGAAAGCTGCCTGAACTTGCTCCTTCGCCCGGCACAGCAAAGAGAGTAAGTTCTTTGAGGAAGACGAGTTGATTACACCGTAGTATGTCGAGCCATGACAACGCAACGACAAGAGATGTTGAAAACAAACAACCCTATGTCCTCCAAGCTTGATGGAGACTTGGTAGATGTAAGGTCCTCCCTCATCACAGAGGCAGCGTCGTGCGAGGAGCCCGGCGCCAAGAGCTTCAAAAGCACTGCTATTTCAGGCCCACTCAGATGGATGTCGCAGCTGGATAAGGCCGCTGCAAACTCGGTCTCGCTGATGTTGCCATCTGCATCCGTGTCGAAGCGCTCAAAGGCCGTCGCCATGATGATCCGAAGCTGTGTGAGTGAGAGGCCCTGAGAAGACCTGAGTGCCTTCAAGAGCGTGCCCACCTCTCTGAGAAATACCTGGCGATCAACTTCGCCTCGTCCGTTAAGGCATTGAATCCGAAGCCGCTCTGCGTCGTGACATTGAATTCCCACACCGAACCGCTCGTTCAAGAAAGCCACCACTCTTTGGAAAGACCCTTCACACAGACACCCTTTGGGTGGAGCGCATGCATCAAAAATCTCCTCAAGCTCTAGAAGGAGCTCAGCCCCAGGAGACTGAGAGGCAGCGTGCTGCGTGGAATCGTTCGGCTCGGCAGCAGGACTACCGTCGTCGCCCTCATCTGGTGGGGATGCCTCTAATTCAGCTTCTCCCAGCTCCGCTGCAACAGCAGACAGCACAGACGCAGTGCATGTCTTCGCTCGCCGATTTTCAACAGGTAGGACAAGAGCCGTACTTACACGTGCCGACGGCATCGAGACTGTCCTGACAAGAGGAACGCGGCGAGACGGTGGAGAACTCGAAGGCGTGGCATCAGGAGTAAGCCCGTTTTGATTAATAGGCGAAGCTCCGAGATGCACGCCAAAGGCAGGCCGATGCGGTGGCCTCCAATTCAGGAAACTCGGAGTAGACGACCAGCCTAGGAAACTCGGAGTAGACGCAAGGATGCGTCCAATGCATCGAGGCGTGTAGTGTGCAACTTTGTGCCTGGCAACTCGCATAGCTCTCTTGACAGCCCGGCTTCGTTTCACCAGGGCAAAGGACACAAGGGCAGTTCCCCCGGCAAAAACTATGCGAGCCCTGGGGCCTGACCCGTCCAGTTTGCGGACTTCCTCATCATGCTGAGCATTGCGGAGGTGGTCCGATGTTATAGGAAGATCCAGCATCCGTTCGAGGCATACCCAGGAGAAGGAGCGTGACTGTCTCTTGGCGGGCACACCTTGCACATACACACAGATGGCACACGCAAGCGCCGTCACAATTCCGAGGCTGAACAAAGATCGCGGGAATTCGTGACCTCTGTTGAAAAACTTTCTCTCGCTGTTGGAGATGGAGCCATGTGACATGGCCCGAAGAAAGACTGTCGCAGACCGAGCTAAGACTGAGTGCACAATTAAACCATGTCTGAAGCAATGCAGTCGTTGCTTTGAGCTAGGCCACAATCAGCAATATCGTATTCGCCTACTTGCGGCTCATGAAGGTAACCCTGCTTGGGCCGAGCCTTCACACCCAGATCCCATGCAAGGGAGCGACAACCGCTCTCTGAGCACTGATGCGAAGTACTCTGAAGCGAAGGCGACAAAAGTGTTCACCGATACTCTATGCCTGCGAGATTTGCTAGGTAATGGATGCTGGCGAGTGCCTCTCGTGGAAAGCATCTCACACGTGAAGCAATTATGTTACGCTTTCCGGCGACCTGCTAGGGTCTTCGGGTCTTCGGGAAAACAAAGGGAGGGTGCAGTGTCAATTGCAGCTTGCTACTCCAAGGAAACACTGCGGCTTGTCCTCGCGATGAACAGCTGGATACTGCAGAGTGCAGTGCTTCTAAACAAGGAGCACCTCTGCCTCTCTCTAGACTTCGGAGCTCTGCGAAGCCCCCCCTCGGCACCTTCAGAGTGTGAAGCCGTCTCTCCAAGTTGCCGTGAATCTCAGCCTGTTCAGGATACCATCAGCTCTACAAGATGAGACCGAGTGGAGAGATGCAGGCATGCCCTTCATTGGCGGTCTGCGCGGCATTGGGCGGGGTCACAAGTCTCTCTTTCTTTCTTTCTGCCGAGCTTGTGGGTCCTAGCAACCCGCAAGCCATTGGCCCGCCCGACCAACCGTTCTCTCTCTCTCTCTCTCACTTTCTGCTTTGCTTGGGGCTCAGAGGGAGCCCTCTCTCTCTCTCTCTCTCACACTCTCTCTCTTCGCTGCACACGTTCACAGCCCGGCCAGCAAGCAGGTACTGGGTCGCGAGAGAAGGGGCGTCGACGAGCAAACCCAGTGAGCACCTGCAATGGTAAAGAGTCACATGCCGAACATATGATGCATTGGCTTTGGAGTCTCTCTCAGTGCACGAGAAAGACTTGCCTGATGTGCTTGGCAAGTCTCCCGCAGGGACTCCGGATGGCATGGCATGTCAGCTGCAACGCATGCAGGCACACTGTCTGAATTGGTAAAGGTTTGGCAAAGAGCGTCATCTGCCAACAAAGTGGTGAAACGGGCCAAAATGCTATCAATGCTCGATTTGATGCATCAGCATGATCTCCTGCAACCTTCACCAACATGCTTCATGGCGCTGAGACTAAACCTGTCAAGCCATATTCAGACAACGAAAAGCAGAGCAAGATCGTGCAAGATTCAAGTGCCGGTCTCATGCCGCGACTGTTCCTTGTCTCGCAAAAGCATTGAAGCTAGACGAGCCTACTGTCTTGCATGGCAGGAGGGGTTACCTCTGCTGCAGCGGCAGCAGTATGGCTCGAAGTTGCTGCAGCACCCTCTGCGAACGCTCGAGCTCCGACTTGTCGGCATTCCACGTCCTGGTCCAGGTAATAGTTGCATTTTCAAGGGCATGGAATGCACGCGCACGTAGTTTTGGGCCCGGCCTCTCCAGAGAGGCAATGCTCTCAGGTTCCGATGCAGGAGCCGTCATGGCGAATGCTCAAGTCAACTGCAGATTTCAGAGCACTTCGGACCTCAGCATAAGCTGTGGAACTTTGTCTCTGTCCCGCTTGTCCCCACAATTCACCCGCATTGCCTTAACAGGATTTCTTTTTGCGGCTCCGGTCCCTGCTTGTGTCGCTAGTGCCGTCGAAAAGTTACACGAACCGTGATCCAAATTGTGTTGAAGAAGTCAGAAACTGAAAGATACCTTCCATGAAACCACCCGCATGCCGCGCGCACCACAGAGATAGATACTACCCCCTGCGGCTAAAGCCAGTGGCTGAACGTTGTACTGCACCTCAACATCAAACCTCGGTGCCGCAACCAAGATGGTCACCCGTCAAATGTTTGCAGAAACTTCCTGAGACCGTGAAGGATCTACAAGCTGCGAGCCCAGGCAAAGAAGGAGTGCTTTATGGCGGAAGCATGACCTCAAGAGCTTTCGATGTGTTGGCTACGATTCTGGCAGCCTTGTTCAACGAAGGGCAACCCCTGACGGCTGTCCGAACTGCAACAGTCCTCAAGTCTACTCATCGGCTAATCTGAAACAAGTGTTGGAGGCTATTCGTCATCGCATAAGAATCTGCAAAGCAGCAAAATTTGCAGCCGAAGGCGTGGATTCCTGTCGTTGGGGTCTTCCTGGGTGAAACTGAGGAGCACTTTCAAAACTCCGCAGGAGAAAGTTTGGCGGGTCTTGTTGCACCGCGCATTTTGTAGTGTGTTTCGCGAAAACTCTAACGGCACAGCGGCTCGTGTTGAACCGAGCCAGCAGGACAGTGCGCCTCACTCCCACAGCTTGCGCAGTGGAAGTCCCGGTGCAGCCGGAAGTCCTGAGAGGAAGCCTGCAGGGGCAAGTTAGCTGCGGTGTGCCTATGGCATGCACGTGCGATTTATTCGGTCGCATGTTGGTACTGCAGCCGTGCAGGATGTGAAACAAATCAAGGGCTTACCAATGGATGCCTGCCTTGCGCATGTTTTCGCAAGCGAGTCTTGGCAAAGATACCAGCAGCTGCAGCTAAGGTAGGAAGCCCTGAGATGCGTGTAAGTCCACATGCCATGCACAGCCCGGCCGCCACAAGACATGCAGGCACCACCCGACTTTCCAGGCAGTCTGCAGCACCAGAGAGGAACGCCAAGGCCGCCTGGGCGTCTTTGCTGAAGCGGGTGTGTGCTTCCCAACGATCAAAGACGCCAGGGGAATGGCTCTCGAGGCCATGCCCGCCAAATGGACCACCTCCACGTGCAGCCACCCATGCATCGAAACGCGCGACCAGCTCATCTGCGCTTGTTTCCAGGAGATATTCGCTCGGAGGCCCACCGAACTTCTCGGAAGTCCGGGGTTCGCGGAAGTATTGGCTGCGAACTGCAGGCAATCCCACGGAATCTTGGAACGAGAGGACTGTGTTGTCCTGATCACCAATGAGGCCTTGCATCAGCTTCCAACTTTTCAGACCTTGCTCAATTCGGTCCAGCTGCGGCCACCTTCTTCGTATGGACTTGCTCATGCGGGTGACGATGCCTTCGCGCTTCTCGTCTACACTACCAACTGTGCGACCTCTCAAGACAACTTTTGACATCTGCATCATGTTTCCCTGCAGCCCACTGTCTTCTCCTGCGTCAGAAGGAGCCGGCACGAAGTAGGACGTCGTAATTTGCCTCACCTTACCTGGTTCCGTAGGCACAAAATAGAAGTTGAACCCAATAGTTCTGCCATCGGGGTACACGTAACTGGTGGAATTTGCACAGGGCGGACCAAAGCGTCTGAAAGCCTTCATTCCTTGGTTACTTTGCATGTAACCTCCATGGCTGGCACTAAGCCCATCGTCCCCAAGATCCTCAACATCAAAAGGCTCCATCGCAACGGCAAGCTCGGGGGCGAAGTTCGGAAGAGCATACTGATGCAAGAACGGCGCATGACTGGGATCCCAGCTTTGTTCTAGCCATACCCTCCAGCTTGCAGGTGCATCAAATACACTCCAATTGGGGCTGTCATCTAGCTCTTCAGCAACGAAAGGATCCTTTCTGCCAGCTTCATCTTCACTTTCACTGTGTGGCCACACAAACAGCAAGCCTTTGACAACCCGAGTCGGATACGACTTGAGTTTGCTGCAAGATGCACCAATCAGCTTTGATTCCGCTTTGGCATCCCCAGCAGCCATGGGAACTTTCGCGCAAGAACCGTCACCATTAAATGTCCATCCATGATATCGGCACATGAGTTGACCGTCTGGCGTGACTCTCCCATGCGCCAAGGGGGCCAGTCTGTGTGGACAAATCCCGTCTGCACAGCGCCACTCTCCATCGCCATCTTTCCAAAGCACCAAATCACGGCCAAGCAGCTTGAAAGGCTCCGGGCCACTCGTTTTCAGCATGGATATTGGAAAAGTCGGATACCATTGCTTTTCCCAGTCGAAACCAGGCTTTGGTTCAGTTCTATCTTGCGAAGAGTTTGGCTTCCATGCAACGATCTGTATTTCCTTCTCACCAAGGGCAGCCCTTGCATGCAATCGACAACGCTGCCTCGTCGACCCGTGCATGCACAAAACGAAGGCAGCCACTGCTCCAACCCAGCCATGCAGGCTGGTGGGGCTCCATTGAATCTCTTTCTGCAGTCGGCACACGACACCCGCAGCGCTATGAGTGGTCGCGCGTTTAGGCAATTGCCCGGGCCGCAACCCAGCGAAAGCTGCTGGCGTCATCAGTGCGGACATGGCGCAAGCACAAATCCGGTCAAGTTTGCTGGACCCTGAATGTGCAACCCTGGCATTGGGGACACCCGACACCACTACTGACATTAATGAAACAGACCATGTCAACACACACGGCTTCACAAACGTCACTTTGGATCTGCTACCCATATGTACGATGGTATTGTTGCATGTACTCGAACTTCAGCCTTTCCAGAAGCTGAGCTGCAGGTTCGATATGCACAGATGCTTGACAAACCACGATAAAAACGACCCATGAACACGCTCGAGACGTTTTGGGCCAAACCCCTCTATACAACACTGCAAATCCCCATCAGGTGGACCCATGCTCAGCTCGGACCGCACAGACGGGGGGTCGATGAGCACGGGATTGCTTCTTTACAATAACAATGCATGGCGGAGCTCGGTGTCAAACCTTCTTCTGGTGGCGAAACAGCAAAAACACGTCAACCCTACAAACACCCAAACTGGGATTTGGATACCGTTCCTTTAGGACTTCAGGGGTGGGCATGCTTGCAAATCACATGTATACGGGGATAAAGTTGTTCACGCCGCCTGATACACCGAGCAATTCTGCAAAGTGAATCAACTCGATTGTCAGTAACTGCAAACATGGCATGAACCTTGTTCTCTGCACGCACACATTGTGGCAACTCAAAGCCAAGCCAAGCATGCACATCTCAGCTCAAACACAACTTGCTGAAGCACTAAAAGCTTCGCACGAAAACCATTGAGCTCTCCAGGCTCTCATACATATTCAGACACATCTATTGCACTTTCCACGTGCACACCTAAAATCATCCATCCGCAAAGCGAGTCCAGCACGTCTGTATGACCAGAAAGCAGCCTGCGGGATTGTGGCAGCTTCGGTGATAAGAAACCCCACTATTCGAAACACATCCTAAGTTCCGATGGTTGTGGCACTTCGCCGTATTTTTTGGACACATCCCTTCACCCAATTCCGGAATGCATGATATTGCGGTTCTTTGTCTATCTACTGTCGTTTTATGTCCAAGCATGAATTTCTACGTGGAGACAGTCACAACCCAAGGTTTTGAAGAAGGTTAGCTCTAAATTTTGACGACCTTTGATGGATCGCAGGGCAGCCCTTTCTCACTTGCGAATGTTAGTGCGGCTTCGTCGTGCGGAATGTCTTTAAGGCTTTGACAAACCTATCGAGAATTTTTCCTGCGTGCGCAGACCTTGTCGATGGCGGCTGCCGCACTCGGTCTAACAAGTTTCGAACAAGAAGCGCACACTGCAAAGCGTGAAGTGGCAAAGACAAGCAAGCCTGGAGCTCGCTTGTCCAAAAACTCACCCTTGAGCCGCTTCTGACGTTGGCAGGAGGTAGCAATCTATCGCAGAAGCGTGTTGCCTTTTCCAGTCTTTCTGCTAGCAAGCCAAAGCTTCTTATATGGATTTGTAAAGCCCAGACACTCAATCATGCCTTGTCCGACTTGGAGGATGGGCCCCACCCCCTTTGACAAAGGGGGGCTTATCGTTTTATGGGGTGGTTTTTGCGAGAAAATAAAATGAGAAAAGCAAACTTAACGAAACAAAACACAATTACAAGCCCCCCACACGAAATCGCTTTTTGGGGCGTTTGCGAAGAAAATACAATCTAGCACCCATACTTTGAAGGCTTCGAAACCTCCCTTCATTCCCCCCCTTCAAGTTCTCAAGCCCACATTTAAAGCTTCCCTTCAACGTTAGTTTCCGAGGGACCTCTAGGGAACCTTCGGGGCCTCTGGGCCTCTCGCACACAGCACTCAGACAGAGCGGGCACGCTCCACACTTTTCACTCTGCTGTTCTTCAGCGGTCCGAGTCTTGAGCCAAGCCCGGCACGGCTTGAGGCTTCAGTACACAGCTCTCTGGACTTCAAACACTTCACAGCTCGTGAGCACTAACAGCGACCTTGGGCTTCAGCTCTCTAAACACTAAAACTGGCTCCTGATGCCTCTTAGGCATCACGCTGTCGCTCTGGCGAAAGCAAACAGGCTTGAGACTCTTCACAAACACTCCAAGCGTCCGCAAAGCTCACTCTGAGGTTCGGGCGGTACGACCGACAGGCGGACCGACCGACCGACCAACAGACCGACAAAAACAAGGTTTCGAAAACATGCGAAATGGTTTCGTTCCAAGCTTTCACCATGCCAAAACAAATCGTACTCACATGACATGCAAAACAAGACTGTGCAAGATTTTCCAAAGCAAGTGTAAGTGCTTCAAATCAACAACTGGGAACCTTAGGAGGTCACACAAATCATTCGCCGGGCTGCG